CAAGTCTTTTAACATTTCATTATAATATTTGACTTCGTCATCTTGAGCTGCATTTGAAATTTTCTGTTCAGCTGTTTTATTTCATAATTTCATCCATTTGCTTTAGCAAGACCAATAAATATTGAGCACTGAATTATTTATTGGTCTTGCAAAACCTGGTCATGAGATTTCCAGCATTATGTCTATCAGTAAGATCATATTTTCCAAGTACCAATCCTTCCTGTTTCCAACTTTTGCATTCCAATCACAAGTGATTATCAATAAATCTTGGTGGAATCAAAATATGGACTGTATGAAGTATGAATCTAGGAAAAGTGAGAGTTGTCAAAAATGAAATGGAACACATAAACATTGATATCCTTGTTATTAGTGAGCTGAAATGGACTGGTATTGGCCATTTTTAATCTGACAATCATATTGTTTACTATGCTGGGAATATCAAATGGAAAAGGAATGGCGTCACTTTAATTATCAAGAAGAACATTTTAAATTCTGTCTTGAGGTATAAAGCCACCTGTGATGGTATACTATCCATACACCTACAAGGAAGACTAGTTAATACCAGTATTATTCAAATTTATGCAGTACCTACTAAAGTCAGTGATACCAACTTCTTCAGTTTGAAATTTATCAAACCTGTAATCAAGATGTATTGATAATTATTGGTAATTGGAATGCAAAGGTTGGAAACAAAGAGGAACGCTCAACAGTTTGAACATAAGGCCTTGGTGATAAAAACAATCACATGACAGAACTTTGTAAGATGAATGGCTTATTCATTGCAAATATCTATTTTAAGCAACATAAAAGATGACTATACACATGACCCTCACCAAGTAGAATATGCAGTAATCAAATTGACTACAGATATGAAGAGACCATTGATAATCTCCCTATCTCCAGCTAAAACAAGGTCAAATGCAGACTGTGGAACTGATCATTAATTGCTAGTATGCAACTTCAGGCTGAAACTGAAGGAAATTAAAACAAGTGAACAAGAGCCAAAATATGACTCTGAATATATCCCACCTGAATTTACAGGTCATCTCAAGAACAGATTTGATGCTTCAGACATTA